TTGAAGTGAAGGATCTCTTCCACCCAGTTCGGGGAGATCTTCATGTTGGCGACCTCACAAGTTGGCGCTATCGGTGCCGATACGAACTCCAACGTTGGGGTCATCGGCAAGTCGCGGGCCGAGGCTGATTTGGCCAGCGTATCGGCCCGTGTGTTCCACGCCCAAGGTATTCTAGTGATCGAGAGGCGGTTGAAGCGGTGAGTGAGCCACTTTGCCTCTGTCAGGTACAGCGCCATCGTTGGCTCCCGGGCTTCATAACTCCCGTTGACGTGTCCTGTCACCAACTGGGAGTCGCTGTAGACTTCGATGTTAGCGACATGCATCTCTAGGGCGAGGCGGAAGCCTTGGAGTAGCGCTTCATATTCGGCCTTGTTGTTCGTGGCTCGGAATTGTAATCGAAGCGATTTCTCGAAGGTCTCCCTGGACGGGCTTTTGAGAACGAGTCCGATCCCCACTGATTCGACGGTGGCCGACCCATCCACGTGTAGAATCCATGTGTTCTTGTCGTTCTCCTACTCATGGGTATGATCTTCAGGGGTTAACTCGGATATGAAATCAGCCAATACCTGAGCTTTGATGGCGGTCCGAGGTGAGTACTGAATGTCGAATTCACTAAGCTCGATCGACCACCGCAGCATCCGCCCTAAGGCATCGAAGTTGAGAGGATCCGCCATAATGGCTGGTCGGTAATCACTTTGATCGTGTGGGCTTGGAAGTAAGGCCACAACTTCCGGGCCGTCTTTATCAGCGCGAGAGTCAGCTTTTCGATCGGGGAGTACCTTGCCTCGGGTTTGGTGAGGACGTGGCTGACGTAATAGATGGGTTGTTGCACTAGGGGCATTTCCCGAACAAGCACCGAGCTGACTGCCTGCGTTGATGCCGCTAGGTAGAGACCGAGGGTTTCACCTGGGTCGGGCGAAGCAAGCTGAGGCAAGTGGGCGAGGCATGTCTTCAGTTTTTTGAAGGCTTATGCGCATTCTGAGGTCCACATAAACTGGCCGGCCTGTCGCAGGGCTCGGAAGAAGGGGATGCACTTGTCGCTCGAACACGGCACGAACCTGCTAAGTGCTGCTAACTTCCCAACGAGCTGCTGCACGTCCTTGACCGAGCGGGGGGAATGCATCTCGGTTATGGCCTGGATCTTTTCCGAGTTCGCATATATTCCCCTATGGTGGATGGTAAAGCCAAGGAACTTACTCGAGGAGACCCCAAAGACACACTTTGCGGGATTTAGGTGGATATCGTATCGCCTGAGCATTTGGAATGTTTCTGCTAGGTCCACCAGGTGCGTGCTTGCGGTTCTGCTCTTCACAATCATATCATCCACGTACACTTCCATGTTCCTCCCGAGTTGGTGTTTGAACAGTTCGTCGACCATTCTTTGGTAGGTTGCCCCGACATTTTTCAGACCGAAGGGCATCACTTTGTAGCAATATATACCTTTGTCGGTGACAAAGGCTATATTCTCTTGATCCCGAGGCGCCATCCGGATCTGATTGTAGCCTGTGAATGTGTCCATGAAAGTAAGAAGCTGATAGCCTACGGTGGCATCGACCAATTGGTCGACTCTCGGGAGTGGATAGCAATCTTTGGGGCATGCCTGGTTGAGGTCGGTGTAGTTAACGCATATCCTCCAGCTTCCATTAAGTTTTTTAACGAGGACTATATTCGACAGCCACCGAGGATATTTCACTTCAGTGATGAACCCTGCTTTTTTAAGGCGGTCAACCTCGTTGCTGATCGCCTTCTACCGGTTGGGAGTGAATCTCCTTGGCTTTTGCCTTACCGACCGAGCCGTTGGGTCGATGTTAAGTTGGTGTTGGGTCACGCTTGGGTCGATCCCAGGTATCTCCTCTGGGGACCATGCAAATACATCGGCGTTCCCCCTCAAGAAATCAATGAGCTGGAGCTGCTCTGCTTCGCGGAGTATCGCCCCAACCTTCATGGTCTGATCGGGCCGGCTCCTTTTTAAGGGCACCTCGGTGATCGGCTCGGGTGGCTCCAGATGCTCCGGCCCTACTACTCCTCCTCGGGCGTCTGTAACTTGGCGGGGGCACGACTTTCTCAGGATAGCCACCGCTGTAAGATAGCACCGCCTTAATTCTCCCGGATCACTTCGGGACTCCCCGATCCTCATTGGGGTTGGGAATTTCATAGCCCGGTGATAGGTGGACACCGTTTCAGAATTTCACCTCGTTTCATAGCCCAGTAGCGATTTGGTGAACAAAGATGCCAGAATTTCATAGCCCGGTGTATTACCTTACGGAATTTCATCTCGTTTCATAGCCCAATAGCGATTTGGCATCGTGGTCGGGATCCCCCCGTCTTTGGGAATGGGTAGGGATGGCTCTCCGAGCCTGACAGAGGGGTGACCGGTCGTCGGTTCTCCCTCGGGAAAAGCCTCGGTTCTCCCTCGGGAAAAGCCTCAGTTCTCCTTCTAGCGTGGTGGACGTGCCAAACAGTGCCTTGGTACGAATTCTGACTTGTCGTGTCTTGGGGGCAATGTCGTCTCGGGATTCCTGTGCCAAGCAACGGCTTGGTATGGATTCTAACCTGGCGTGTGACACCGGGTGTGGCGTGTCTTGGACCCAAAATAGGCCCTATCACTTATCTCGATTTTGGAATACGAAATCGATTATTTTTTGTTTTAGAATTAATGATTTTGGTTTCTTAAAATTTAGAATTGAAATCGAATTGAGTTGCTTCTATGACTCAACCCAACGATTTCGGTTTTGATTCCGTTCTAGTTTCTATTTGAACGGATTTTTTTTTAAATTTTGATTATAAATGTTTTTAAATATGATAAAAAAAATTAAAATTTTATTTTTAAAATAATGAGTGTATTGGTATCAAGGAAAAATAATATAAAAAATAAAATTATAAAATTTTTAATTGTTTCATGTAATTGACGTTTTGATCTTTTCTTTGGTCGATCTCTTAGTTTCGATCATCTTCATCCAATCATACCTCGTTGAAATTGAAAATATTGTTTTATATGTCACACTTATAATTGAAGAATTGAAATCACTGAATAAAATATATTTAACATCATTAAAATTTTAAACATTTTTTCATAGATATTTTATTATTGTGGAAATAAATTAATTTGTCTAATATTATTTATAATAAAGTACATAATAATCATTTATACTTACTTTTATTAAATTTAAAGTAGCAAGAACGCCAATATACAAAAAAAATCACCATAAAAAATTTGTTGACACTAAATAACGGATGCATCATGAAAACTGATTTAAAAATTTTAGAAATTAAATAATAATATTTGTAAATAGTTTTTATTATACCATAAATGTTATTGATGGTATGTCCGTATATCATTCGTAAAAAAATTAAAGATAATAATTTTTTTATATGATTTAATCACTATCAATACAATGACATATTGAATCTATATATTGTGAGTTTGCTAGTGATCGAAATATTGGTATAAATGGAAATAAGATGATCAAAAGTTCAAAACAATTTATGTCATTACACGTGTCATTAAATGAAATAAAAAAAGATAGAAATGATCATTAGATTTGAGATAAAAAATGAATGCTCAACGAATAACGAAAAATTATAATTAGAGACCGGATTAAAAAATTCTACCCCACTTACAACTGTTGGTATTTAAGCGATTTTAATACACAAATCGATACATTAGGGTTTATGAATCATTTGTGTACGTTTCTACACCAAATCCACCTCATTCAGATTCGGTATTTAATATGTAAATATGTAAAGATTTGAATTATAGTGGATTTTTGGTGCTTCTCCTCTAAGCTAATTATATATTACCCCTTCTAGTTAGATCTATTTTACATCCCGATCCCTAAACTTTAAAAATTTATATTATAATCCTTATAATTATGAAGATAAAATATTTAATTTTAAAAATTTATATTATAATCCTTATAATTATAAAGGTAAAATATTTAATTTTATTTATCATAACATCGTTGATTTTATCGACGGAATATACAATACATATAGAAATGATACAATAATGATAGTAAAAAGATAATTTTAACGTTCAAATTATGTTTTATGACGGACAACGATATTATTGGGGGGGTCATGGGTGGCTGTTATCATTATGATCGATGAGATCATTGAGAACTTATAAGATTTCTTATAAGGGGAGGAGGATAATGAGATGGAAGAACAGTGATGAGAAGTCAAGTCAAGCAAAGGAAGAGGATGATGCATATATTGATACTCTGCATCGATATTGTTCGGCCATTGTGTTGATGCTAACATATATGTAGAACAGTAAAAGGATCACTCAACATATGTATAGACGCTAACGTAGATGTATATACAAAGTGTCGATCGATATCTACATCGACGTCGACATAGTTGTAAATACAGAGCCTCACTCGACATTTGCATCGACGCTGACAATCATGAGGAGAAGGGTGATGTCGCTTTGTACCTATGTCGGAATCGATGTAGATGTCGAGCGGTCTTTTCATTGCTTTGTATCTATGTTGGCATCAATGCAAATGAAGAGCGTTGACATCTATATCGTCCTCATCCGTATCTCTCTTTGTATCATTTTTCATCATCACTTTCCTTCCTTATTCTTCTCCTCCCCCACAAGAAGCTGCAAAAATCCCAAGCGTTCTAATCAGTTTTTCTTACGAACCACAATCACAATAGCTCTCGTGGCCCCAGTAGCAACTACCGCCATCGAAAACTTAACTAAGATATTAAAATTATTATTATTATCATCTTCATATTATTTGTATGCAAGTTATCACGTGTTATATCTTCGTTGATAAAATGGATGGAGTTACGATAAATATAGTTAAATACTTTATTTTTATATATGTAAGGATTCTAATGTAAAAATTTTAATTGTAAGAATCAAAATGCTAAAGTTTTATCTATAATAGTAATATGTAATTAGCCCTATTTTCACCCTTGTTTTAGGAGTTTCATGCATCAATCTCTCTCTGTCCCTCCCTTCTCGCTACCTACACCGCCCTGGCTCCATGAAGTGGTCACTCCTCCTCTTCTTTGTCCTCCTCCTCTTCTTCTTCCTTGTCTTCTCGTCCACATCGAAGCTTAGCGGAGCAGCATCCATCGTGAGGACCATCGTCGTCGATCCTAACCACAAGGGAGACTTCACCAGCATTCAAGAGGCGATCGACTCCATCCCCAACAACAACACCCACTGGATAAAGATCCACGTCGCCGCAGGAGTCTACAGGTTCGTCGTCGCCGGAGCGCCTTTGACGCTCAACTTGCACTCCTCCGCCGTCTGAAGTGGGTGGTTCATGCAGGGAGAAGGTGAACCTGTCTCAATCCAAGAGGTACGTCTTCCTCGAAGGAGAGGGCGCTCACCGGACGTCGATCGAGTGGGGCGACCACTCCCCCGACCGCCGTGGCCATGGCGGCAAAGCTACTGCCACGTTCACGTCGTCTGCTTCGAGCTTCGTTGCTGCAGGGATAGCATTCAAGGTTAAGCATCACACAGAAGCTAATGATTCCCATTTCTCTTTAGGAGGGGGATTCCATCATGCAGATCAAGTCTTCTTTGATACGTATGTTTCTGCTGCAGAATACGTATGATGGGAGCGTGAACATAAGGCAAGCGTTGGCAGCAGCGATATCGGGAGATAAGTCTTCCTTCTACAACTGCAGCTTCATTGGGTTTCAAGACACGCTCTTCGATCGAAAGGGACGACACTACTTCAAGGATTGTTATATCGAAGGGGTGATGGACTTCATCTTCGGAAATGGCCAATCCATTTATGAGGTATCGATCCCATTCGACAGTGATAATATATATATATAGAGAGTACTATTTTGAGGATCTTTTTGGTCATACAGGGATGCACGATATCGTTGATTCAAAGTGCGATGAAGCCAGGTTTCGTGACAGCGCAAGGGAGAGGGAGCCCCAAAGACCCTGGTGGCTTCGTGTTCAAGTCATGCAATGTTACGGGGTTTCAAGAGACGTACTTGGGAAGAGCATGGGGAGCTTATTCGAGGGTGATATTTTACAGAACCTTCATGTCCGGCATCATCATTCCACAAGGGTGGTATGCTTGGAACGCCATTGGTCACGAGTAAGTTATATTTCTAATCAGAGATGTTATGTATGTTAATTACTTTCTTATCCATCGACTTGAGCTTTTAGATTCGTTTACGATGATGTGTCAGGGGCAACATAACATATGCCGAATCGGAGTGCGTCGGACCGGGATCAAACCATTCGAGGCGAGTGGAGTGGGAGAGAAAGCTAAGTAACATAGAGCTAAGATATTTCATTCACATGACATACATTGATAGAGAAGGGTGGCTCAACGAACAACCGAAATCGAGTTGGTCTTATTAATGAATATATATATATATATATATATATATATATATATATATATATATATATATATATATATATATATATATATTGCTGTGAGTGTTCATCTTTTTTTTTTGACACCATATAAATTTAGTCAATTTTTGCCGGTAGCAAAATTTAATTTATATAAAAAAATGATTAAATGTCACTCCAACATGGTCTAAATGGATGTTCTAAATATGATTATATGGAAAAGTAAATTTCATCTACCACCATTCCCACCTATCACCTTATTTGTCCTCAATTTTGATATGGATTTAATTGATTTGGATAGATCTAATTATTCCCTCCTGCCGCATATAACACACTTGATTTAATCCCACATCTTAAGTGAATAACGACTTACATCGATTTATAAGAACATGATGATATAATATTGTTAACTTAACCTTAAGTGAATAATTATTTAAACTTAATGTAATAGATCTCTAATATTTAGTTTTAGAAATGACCGACACTACGCTATACTTTGATTTTGGACCACATAAATAATCACAATAATCGATCGATTGGACCACATGAATAATCACAA